GGGGGTTGGAGCGGAAAGGAGGGTTTTGCAACTGTTGTAAGTGTTAAATTTTACCTAGTGTATCAGACAAGAAAAACAAGAGTAGTGCAAGGGTAAAATAGAACGGAATGTGTCAGGTGAGGAAGACGGAGTGAAGTGGAGAAAACAATGAGTCTCGACCACTACAAGGCGTACGAACAATATAAAAGAAAAACAAATGTAGAAAGATCATGTCACCGATGTGTCAGCGGACAAAGATGGCCGTCAAACCCACGCCAACGAGCAATAAGGGCGGAGTTCACTTCCTTATATATTGTATTATTAAACCAAAGATTCGAGATTTAAATTTCAACCCGTCATTTGACAGCGCTCGCTGAGGGGTGGAGGGTCGGAACGCCTGGAGGGATGGCCAGTCCGCTTGTTGTTGTGTAACGTCACTCACCTCACTTGTGGTTTGTGTTTGTGTATGGCAGAGGTTCGTACCTTTGTTGGGGGAGGTTGAGGGAGGAGATTATGACAGTACACACGCCTCCCTAACCAGGAGTTGAAATTTTGCTCTCGGCCGGTGAGCTTGGGTAAACAGTAGGAGGGACTACGCACCATAATCGTTTCATTCATTGGAGAGACAAACATTAACGAAATGTGAATGAGGTAGTACGGCTCGTCCACAGCCCATGGGGCCGATACTATACGATTAATGAGAACGCCTCGGGAGATGAGAGATCTGCGTTGCCATCTTAGTTTTAATTTGGGGGGGGGGGGGTTCCTGTCGGTTGATAGAGTTTTGATATAGCGACCGTTTTGGCCAGTTCATTTTACGCAATGTCATTTTGCCAAAAAATCTTGTTGCTAGTATTATTGCAATGGCGGAAGACCGTTTTTTAAAAAAGGAACCGAATTTTGAAAAATAGAAACATCTCAATGACCACCAACATACGTATCATATCAACCCTTCTATATTATGACTGTAAATGCTGTATAATCACCGAAAACAGTGAAAATATAAAAGAAGCAATAGACATGTGGTTTCTTGGGAAACTGCTAAGAATTTAGTGGAAGAAAAATAAATCCAATGTTGTTGTACTTAAGAAAGCCCGCTTGGGCTGCTCGCATATAAAAACAATTTGGAAAAGACAAATATAGGAAGTTTCTCGAAAACAAGAATAGACATGAAGAGACCATTATTGGACGCTTTTTTGCACAATATACAAGTTGTAACAAAGGGCAGGCCAGTTCTACTCCATACCATAAATCCCATAATGTACAAGTTATAACAAATGGTGGACCAGATCTACTCCATACCATAAATCAATTAAATAATAATCACATTTTTTTTCTTTCTTTCATCATGGGTTAGGAATCGTACAAGCACATCCCAAAAGTTTCACCATGTCGCAAAACATGACGACCTCACCGCTGAAGCAAAATCACTTCAGAGTTCAACTGACGCCACCCGTACCATGGATCAATCCTGCTGGCTGGTCAGCTCACTCCGTCCCCGTCCCTTCATTCAGCGACATTGGTCACCAGCTGGCCGAAAACATGGCTCCAGAACCAGCAGACTGCCAGCCGTCATGTAAAAGACGGAGAATGGAAACTGAACCGTCACCCAATGGTGCGGAGTCCAGTGTCAGCGGTTTCGGATTACGCCCCTTATCAAGTAGTCAGACGAGGAATGTTGGTGACGTCAGTGGTGGTTATGATCACGTGTCCAAGATGCCGATGGAAACTCAGTTGTGGTTTCGCCTTCGTGAACAGGCGCTGAGAGAAAAGAGAGACAACTCGCTGCATTATGGGACGGTGGAGACCGGAACTGTGGACTGGGTGAAGGTGAGTTGGATTTCTATACTTTTTCTGTCTCTCTGTCTCTGTCTTTGTCTGTCTTTGTCTGTCTCTGTCTCTGTCTCTGTCTCTGTCTCTCTCTCTCTCTCTCTCTCTCTCTCTCTCTCTCTCTCTCTCTCTCTCTTCCAACAGTAGACAACGTAATTTGTAAACTATCTCTCAGCAATTAAAGCTAATCAAATTTCACTTTATTGTACGCAATTTGTTTGGGGGCAGAGTGTATCTTTTTTGTGAGCTGATCTCCGTAAGGTGTGGCTGGGCTGTTGGTGTGAAAAGAGGGGGGGGAGTCTTGCAGTAATTAGTGATGGTTGTACTGCTTCAATAAAGAGTGCCTGTAATAAAGTTTAGAAACAGACTCTACATGTCAATGGTATTGGCAAGTTTCTCTTAAATCCCTAGATTATATGATTTACTTGTACAGCCACAACCTGATGTATACTTCCCACTTCCAGGTCCAAGCTGTGTCTGCTCCAGTGTTTTCTCTGGTCAGCGCCTTCGTGGTCAACTTTCAGGAGGAATTTTACACCGACAGATTTTCCCTGGAAGAGCGAGTTGTTGTAAGTAATTACGTCACATGATGGGTTAGAGACTGAGCTTTCTTAGATCTAAAGCAGCCAAAGTTAGGGTAATATTTTTCAGTGCTGTCTATTTATTAAGTGTTCTTTTTAACAAAATTAAAGCTGGAACTTCAAACCATCGTGCATAGAAGACTTAGAATTCATGAAGGGCTCTTAACGCAAATTCTTTATGACCATGTCTTTGACATGGATTCGAACCAAAGTCCCCTCTGATATTACAGTACAGTTCTGTGTGCTTGCCACCAAGCACAGAATGTCGTTCATGATACAATAATATGTGTGTGTTGTTACCATAGAAATTAATTGTGACTTTAGGGGCCTGTCTATTTCTTCCTTACAGTCATCTGTCTGCTGTATAGCTCTTTTTATTGTTGTTGCTGTTGTTATAATGATTGTTTTTGTTGTAGTTGTTGTGGTGGGGGTGGTAGTGATGGTGGTGATGGTGTGCTGTTGTTGGAATTGTTGTTGTTGTTTTTGTTGTTGCTGATGGTGATGATCTATCTATCTATCTATCTATCTATCTATCTATCTATCTATCTATCTATCTATCTACTCAACAATCTTTTTTTCTGATTCTAACAGCTCAAGCACTTGTGTACCGAGTTCAAGATCGAGACAACTGACCAGCTCTGTAACAACGACAGTGTGGTCACACTCAGGAAGACAAGGTGAGCTCTCCTGTCAGCTAAGCTTGGCGTAAGATACGTTTGTTTTGAAGTAAGATTTGTTTTGCACACAAGCACAACAGTTATATAACATGATGTCTTATCAGTGTGTTGATCTAGTTGAAATGTTCTCCTTATTATTAGTTGTTATTATTACTATTATTAATATTATTATTATGATTATTGTTATTGTTATTGTTATTGTTATTATTATCATTATTATTATTATTATTATTATTATTATTATTATTGCAATAAATTTTTTATTTTTTATTATTTTATTGTTTTTGTTATTGCTGTTGTTGCTTTCATCATCATCATCATCGTCAGCATCATCATCATTATCATTATCATCATAGTATTATCACTTATCAGTATCATTGCTACCAGTAGGCGTATTATTATTAAATAGTCTTTGTCGCCTTTCATCTTACAAATTTTGTTGTATGTCTATTGTTTCAACAGTGAGACTCTTTTTCCCACTGAGCAAGTTTTCCAACGCGTTTTGATGACCCTCCAACAATCACAAACAAGGGTCGGGCTTGGACAAAGCTTCTGACAACTGAACGATGACCGAAACCTGGGAACTTGGCCTTCAGTTCGAGAGAACCAACAGACAGATTATAAATAGTTTATTGTCCAACCAACAAGAGCGCAATTGCTACATCATAAGGGTGCACTTGAGCACTGGTAAACTGCAGGGCCTGCCTTTGAAATAACTTATTTGTATCTGAAAAACTGTTAGATTTTTCGTCATAAAAAAGACGAATGTTTATAGAGACTGGTTTCACTTCCAAACTATTTACTGCTTAAAATGAAAAAAAAAATGTTAAGGCATGTTTAAGGTATTCAGTTTAAAACTACATTTTTTTTCAACCATCTCATGGAAAACCAGTTAATGTACGTGGTACCTTTGTCATTCCCTGAGTACTTTCAGCCTTCTTCCTTTCAACAGTACCGACAGTAATCGGTGTGGAGACAGAGACAATTTTCCTACAGCAGGTTTTGTCAGACATCTGCTTATTATTGTATATCATTTCACTCTAGTATTATCATGCATTAGTGATCTTAAGCCCTTTGTATTTCTTTTTAAAAATTTGATTATCATACTCTGGATAAAATTAAGAAATCCAGAATATGCATTTCAAACGTATATTTTATAAAAAGAAAATAGTGTTTAGAAAGTAATAACAACTTAATTGTATAAACCCTTCACAACCCCCTTCCCCCAAAAAGCAAAAAAAAAACAAAACAAGCAACTAAACAAAAACAAGTATTATTTCACTTTTGTGGGTCTTTTTAAGTTGTTTTTTTTTTTACTGAATTTACTTGCGAAATACCAATTTTGAGGCTTTGCTATAACAGACAGGTGACTTTGAGCACTTTGTAATTATTCAAAAACAATGCCATGAAATACTCTTGTTGTACAGATTAAAATGTCCGAAAAAATACGAATTTAAAGCATTTTGTTCTAACAAATGTGTTGATAGCGCAAGAAGTCATTTCTTGGTGTTTTTTCTGACCGGGTGAACAACAGGTTAAGACCAGCTCCATGTTGGCAAGTTGTTTTAGAATTGCACATAATTTATTAACATTATCAGCGAGTAGTATGTCGTAATTGCTCGTACTGCTGATATTTTAGACTGTTTAGTGTTGCAGAGCTTTAATGGTCTAAGCAATATTGCACAAAAGAAAAACGTAATAAATCCCAAAATACCTGGATACAATCCTTTTTAATTTGAAAAGTCTCTAAAGAATATGCTCTAGACATGTTAATATTTACAGGGGGGGGGATATGTTTTCATGATGGTACATTTTGATACTTCCATAAAGAGATAATGTCTGACCAGTTTATGTTGAAGACATTAACTTTTGCTAGTGTCAATGATATAAAACACTTGTACAACATTGATCATCAAGCCCTGACTTAGTAATACAGCATCAGAAATTGATATCTTAGAAATAAATACTGATTTAAAAGTAATTACAACTTGTAATAAATGTACAAGCCCTCCTCCCCCCCCCCCCCCCCACCTCAAACAAACAAACAAACAAAACATACTATTAGTTGTCTTGGTATTGCCCATAAGTGTTCAACATTATCAGATAGTTGTGAAACGTAATTGCGACTGATATTTGAGAAGTTTTAGTGTTGCTGAAGCTGCAATGGTCATTTATAAGCAATGTGGTATAGTATTATAAAGAAGAAAAACATAAACGAGAAAGAGCATGCTGCAAACCGTCTAGTTTGAGATGTCTGTTAGAGAAAATTCTCCTGATACGTTCATATTCAGAGCAAAAAATGTGTTGAAGATACTATATTTTGATACTTCCATAAAGCGATTTGTTTGACCAGCTCATCTTGAAAACAATAACTTTTGCTAGTGTCATTATTTGTAACAAATCATTTTCATAATTGTACATTATTGATCACTGATGAAAATTATCAGGGAGTGGTATGTCGTAATTACGACTGCTATTTTAGACTGATTAGTGTTAAAGAGCTTAAATTGTCATAATCAATATTGTACAAAAAGAAAACAGTACAAACCCAAAACACCAAGATACAATCCTTTTTAATTTGAACAGTTGCTAAAGAATGCTCTAGATATATTAATATTCACAAGAAAAAAGTGTGATCATTATGGTACATTTTGATACTTCCAAAAAGAGATAATGTCTGAGCAGCTTATGTTGAAGACAATAACTTTTGCTTGTGTCAATGTTTAAAAACATTTGTACGATATTGATCATAATGCCTTGAGCTAGTAATACAGCATCGGAAACTTATATCTTAGAAAGAAATACTGCTTTGAATGTAATCATAACTTGCAATAATTGTATAAGATCCCCCCCCCCCCCCAGACTCCCAATAAAAAAATAAAAGATAAAAAACAAAACAAGCAACAACAACAACAACAAAAAACCCACCAAACATAGATCATATCTTTGTTGTCTCAGTACGGTAAACTTACATAAGTGTTCAACATTATCAGATAGTTGAAGAACGTAATTGCGACTGATATTTGAGAAGGTTTAGTGTTGCTGTAGCTGTAATGGTCATAAGCAATATTGTATGTTATAAAGAAGGAAAACATGATAAACCAGAAAGAGCATGCTGTAAAACTTCTAATTTGAGATGTCTTCCAGAGAATAATTCTCCCGATTCACAGGGAAAAAAAATGTTTAAGATACTATTTATTTTGATACTTCCATAAAGCGATTTGTTTGACCAGCTCAACTTGAAAACAATAACTTTTGCTAGTGTCACTTTAAAAAAAAAATCATTTTCATAATTGTTCATTATTGATCATCACGCCCTGAGGTAGTAGTTAAGGATGTGAATTCGAAACTGATACTTTAGAATCCAATACTGATTTGGATGTAATCAGACCTTGCATCAATTGTATAATCCCCCCCCCCCCCCCAAAATTAAATTTTAAAAAACAAAAAAAACGCAAGCAACAAAAAAAAAGAATAAAATAAAAGATAAATTTTTAACAAGTAATACAAGATCAACAACAACAAAACCACACATGAAAAACTTGTAAAAAATATTTGATTTCCCTTTTTAAAACTTCCTCAAATTACATTTAGATACTTCTGACTTAGTATTGAATTCATGTTAACAATAAATTTTGTATGTTCGCTGATCAAATGCTTTAACTACAGTAACTTAATATCATTTAATTTTATCAAACTTTGTTTTATTGTCCTGTTGCTGTAAGCCCATGGATTTATTGGGCACCCTTAGAATTTACAACATTTTTAGCTTATGTTTTGATTTGTTGTCTGTATGCCTCGAATTTTTTACTACATATTTAACCTATAATGTCCAGTTTTCAAACTAGCAGCTGAGGTGAACTATCTGAAGTCTATAATTCTGTCCTTGAAAGTCAACACCTATTAATTGTCAATGTGTCCAGTTCAACATTACGATGTATATTTATGTTTTGTTTTCTTTCTCTTTTTATATTTTCAATGTTTTTAATAAAATCTGTAAATTTAAAAAAAACACTTGTTATTGTTATATATATATAAGACAGCAGTAAGAAGGAGCCAAGGAGTAGCAGTAGAAAGGCTGCAGAAAGAGTCAAGAGCCCAGGGGAAGGGGTAAAGGAGGTGAGGGCAGAAAGTGGAGACGAAAGCAGACCACATATCATTGCTAGAGAGCAGGAAAGAGGGTGAAAGGAGACAATTATAGAGATGAAAATTGTTCAGTCACTACTCGGATTCGAACCAGGGACCTTTGAATGAGAGGCCCTAGGCCACGAGAGCACCCCTTGGATTCTCTGTTGTCATCCTCCCCTTGGCGTTCATATGAACTTATGCAGTTGCGAGCGCCGCAAAACCTTATTAAAACTAAACAAAGAGTGTCATTATAATAGAACAATGCAAGAGGGAAAGTAGGAAGGGGTGGTCGTCTTGGATAAGTGATTGTTGGAACTGTTTTAACTAGTGATAACTACCACAAGCCTTTCTGGAAGCCCGCGTGGGCGGCTCGTTGATAAACAAAAAAAAACCCCTCGGAAAACACAAAATTAAAACCATTTTGGGGACACTTAAATAAACATAAAGGTTTTTAACATTGAGCTCTCACTGGCAAAACTGAAGGCAAACGATGCATAACAATTTACTTGGAGAGCCGAAAAAGATGTCTCTTTTTTTTAGAGTATATCCAAGCTGAGTAATGAAGAAAGAACCATGATGACCGATATCTGTCACAGATCTAGCACTTGAAGATGAT